TGCACTTTTGCATCATTCTCCAGGCATCTTTGCAGCCATTTCCATTTCCTGGCTCTTCATATGTTTATATAATTTTCATTCTGTCATAGGTTCTTCTTTTTTTACTCGTCCTATCCTGCCTTGCATGAGTCTTGTCTTCGCTCATGTCGAATGCTGAGTTGCTGGCTGGTAAAACCCCAACTTTGTTCGAGATACAAATGTCCCTTCTGATATGTAGGCTTTCCTTGTTCAGTGTCTATCTTTGTTATCCTTTTCTTTTCCACTTGCATATTTTATTTCGAAAGCTCGGCTTTTTTTATTGTTGTCTGTCGGCACTCACATTTCTTTATTTGTTAGCTTGCGATGGATAATCGCAGCTTAGTTGTATCTAGCTACATTGTCGATAGACATAAAATAGATGGTGCTAAAAGGAACACAGCAAGACATCGTAGTTTTATAAATCTGTAACTAACCAGCCATGTGCGGCATTGGATGGGACTTCGAATTTGATGCTAGTATCTAAAAGGTGAAGCACACGCAGTTGGGATATCATGATAAAAGAAAACGCCCAATGGAAGAGAAAACGATCAAAGACCGGGTTGCAAAACGAGACCCGGTACTGAAGGACGCGGCTCCTTCTCCAGCGGAGCAAAGTACTGATTAAAAGCCTTGCCCAGGGTCTTTTGCGACAGCTGCATATGTTCACCAGGGGCAGTGTTAAAGTCCAGCTTCCCCTGTTCATCAAGCTGCTTCAGTCCCAGCCAATCCTCCTTGTAGATCGGCCTCTCGTGCAAAGGTGTCACCTCACCACTAGTGGCATTAACCTCGGAGAACAAAGCACTCTCCTTAGGAACAGCAACAGTGTCTTCCTCAAACATGAACATAGCAAACCGATTCAGCGACGCCAGATTCTTCTTATACGTCTCATTCTTAACCGCGCGCTCATTGTTGATATCTGCTAGGAAATTGCTGTGCTCCAGGTACGATTCCAGCTCTTCCGGATCACGGAAGTACTGCGCCGGCACGACACGCGACTGCGCAAAGCTCGTCCACCGTCCCGATCGTAGGAGTTGCTCGGCTCCCTTGCAGAACCAATTGTCCCAGGCGCACGACTCAAACGCCGAGATGCCGTTGTGCTGACTACCGAATGTGACGAGGTTGTGGACGGGTGGGCTGTTGCAGCGCTCGATGTACCCGCGAAGGAATTGGCCGCCCTGCGAAAAGCCTAGTGCATTGACGGCGGGCGCCGTGCTGAGGATTGGGTCCGCGGCGAGCTGTTCGCAGACCAGGGCGATTTGCTCAGTTACGTTGCCGAAGAAGGTTGCGGAGCGGTCCCCGCTGCCGTCGTTGGCTAGTCGGATGAGGTGCACGTATGTGCCGGGGTTGGTGGATTCGGCTAATTTGGCAACTTCAGCCAGCCCTTCACGTTCGAAGTCATCGCCTAGACCGTGCCAGATCACGAGAGGGAGCTGGATTCCGCTGGCTGCATCTGTGGCGGATTGCCACGGGAGTGAGATTGAGAGAGCGTTGGTGGCCAGTGCGGCCAAAAGTGTGATAGAACGCATTCTTGAACGATGGAACTAACAAGGGATCTTCGAGATGTCAGTGCCGTTGATAACTCGAGATAGTTGTGGAGACGGAAATGACGTTGTCTCGAAGGCAGGTACGAATCATGTGATGACCGGATACGGTAATTTAGATCTATATGTAGGAACAAAAAGCAGGTACAATCCACGATCTACAGGAGAATGAAAATCTGTAACTAACATGTAAAATAACATAGGAAGTGGATTTTGTTGCATTAAGGGATCTCAGCGGTCTATTTATTGGGTGGTATAGTGTATTAATCGTTCTCCTTCTGGGTGCCCAGGTGCAGACCTCAGAAAGCTCTCACGGCACTGTTATTACAACTAGTCTACTATGTAGTTAGTAGTAGGCTGTTTCAGAGAAGGCGGGGCCTCCACATACATCCATTTGATAAATGAATCGAGGAAATGTATCATTCATCTGACTTAACCTGACTGTCTGAATGAAAATGAGCGTTCAACATTATAACTACACTGCTAGGCATAGCACCGAGTCGGGGTCATTGCGAGCGGGGAAAGAGATTGGTAATCCATGTAGCTGTCAGGTTCTCTTTCCCTAGGTCCTGGTCCACAATAGAAGATCCTTCATGGTCAAGTAGCATTGATTGCGATGAGATGCTGTTCATGGCCATCCCGGAGCTGTCATTGGATTGTGCAATGGGTCGTCCGTTGATCTCAAACTGGATGTCTTCTTCAATAGTATCGATCACCGAGGATAAATTTCTGCCTCTTCGTGAGGGTTTGGGTCGCTCAAAAAAAGTAGACCCGTTGTTAGCTGCTACCATCCGTTTTCTGTCTTGGTCATTTAGCTTTCGTCGCTTCCCAAACCGTTCGCCTTCCTCCACAGATGTAAATGCAAGCTCGAGTGGACGTGTAGCAGACATAGCGGCCCAATCAGGTTCTTGCAGCAGTTGACGCTTGACCTCGGTCAAGTCATCACTATGAGAGGACTGACCACCAGTCTCATGTGAGGCCGGCTCTTCCGTAACTCTAGAATCAGCAGGAGCACGGGTTAGTACAAGGACGCCCACATGGATTGGTGGAAACAAAGTCAAAGCAACCAACACAGTTGTTGACTGACTGAATTCCATTTGTCTCTGCCTCCTCATCCTCATCCTTGTTTCTAGTGCTCGAGCCCTTGAATGCAATATCAGGGAAGTCTCGAAATGGTGAAGGTGGGGGAATGACCGTGCCCTTTTGGAGTCTCGCCCTGGCGAAACTCTGCTTCTGAGCTTTGGTCAACAGGCCTGAGCGATTGTGATGACGCTGCAGCTGGCCGCCTGTCCAATTCATCATGCCAAGGAATGAAGAGTGGGGAGTGGATAAGGCCTCCAACGGGTCTCCCGCGTCAGTTGAGGATGTGGGTGTTTGCTCATAATCGAGGCAAACAGTGTAAACCATACAAACCTGTATATAACACGTGATCTCAGCTACAAAAATATTTTCTTCCTTTTCTTCTTCCTTTTCTCCGTCAATCATAATCCCAGACTGCCATCACAGCCTCGAATATGACTTGTGTTTCATGACAACTCATCCCTTTTCTCTTCCGACAATTCCCGCTAACAGGTAAGCCCATTCTTTTTTCTTTCCTTTTGGATTCATATCCCTGCGCTGTTTTCCAAGGGCATTTTGCCTTTTGTGATGAACAAACAATATTTAAAGCATAGTTCACCTGAGATCTTCGGATTGCTGAACGAAAACATATTCCATCTTTCATTTTCTGATCCTATCAACCTTGATATTCATTTTTTTCTCTCATACACCACTTCTTTTGAACTCGGCTAACGAAAAAAGCCCTGAAAATAGGAAATATATGCATTGCTGCCCAACGTGGGTCTGGCTCCCTGGCTCGCCCCGTCCCGTTGTCCAGTAATCTTAGTTATATCACATTTACAATCACATTTACAATTTACTATTTACAATTTACAATATATCATTTATATTATTTATTCTTGCTTCACTGTAATATTCGAGTCTCAACTGTACTCCGTACAAGGTGACCTCATGCTGCAGGTATACTTCCCGCACTGCCGACGTGGGATTGTCTCCTCCATACGATACTCGCTCAGATGCAACTGAGTTGTACATCTCATCGAACACGCGAGTGAACCTGCCGATCGTCCAATTCGGACATCATCATACACCGTCAGCCTGTCCCTTGTCACCAATCATACTTCTCGCCAAGCACTCCAGACGCCGAGCCCGTCTCACCGCTAGTAAATATCCCTCCACTCAGTCAAACGAACACCCCCCCTATCCTGCAGGTGCCATCACCGCCAGTCTGTAGTACTGGCTCTTAGGGTGCCAACAGCGCACTCGTCTCCTGCATGATGCGAAACTCCCACGCACCATGTTTGATGGCCCACAGACCCTCCAAAGTCCGAGCTTTCATTTTTTGTGTGTGCTAAAAGGCCGCTGATCCCCCTCCATTCTGATTCTCCTTTTTCTTTCTTCCCTAACTCTCTGGATACCCCTTTTTCTACAATACTTTGTGTATCACTTTATATACTCCTCAACACATACAACAACTCAGTCCCTGGACCAAGGACAACTTCTTTCTTAACCCCAAAACTCCCTGGTTTTTGATACAATCACTGCCACAAGGATTTCTCTCTGCCACATACTTCCCGGACAGGATTTGTTTTCTTGTTATCTCCCAGGCTTCTCTTTAGTCTGCCATATTTCGACAAAACACAATAGGTAGCTCCCGTCACATTTTCTTTACAATTGGTTCTCCTATGCGTTGCTCTTTTTTTTTTTTCCCTTTCTCTCTCTTCCGGACCTGTACCACTGTCAACTGTGCTTGCCAAGGATATCGACAACCTATTTCCCAGGACCTTAGACCTACCCCAACCCCTGGACTTTTGGCCAATTTTTGGCGACTATGAATAGGGAACCCCCTACCAAGGATACTTGCCCTCAGCACCTGCTGAGTGAATCTCTTTTGAGATGTGTTTAATGTTGCACACTCAAAAATCGCCTGACTTCCACTGCCACTGGACTCCCATGGATGTTTCTCTTCTTTTCACGTTGCCTCTGCTCTAAGACCGGAGTTTTGAGTGCGGATTTTGATATAGCCTTGGATCCCCATTGCTCCTGGAAACAACGCCCCTGGAATGAACCACATGAACCACTTTAAGGACTTTGAATTTTATGACTCTTTGCCTGGAAATCTGATGCTACTATGGCCACTTTCTCTCAACAATAATGGATCCATTTGACCCCAAGGAATCAACCGAGGAATCTTTCAAGCTAATGTGCTTGCTCCCTGTGAATAATGGCCTTCTGAAGCATCCGCTTTCTCAACTCTTGCTTGCGCTATTGCTTTATGGATCCTGGCCATTGTGTACCTACCTGATCTGGCCACAAAAATGAACGACTTTCTTTTACTTACCTGGATTCACCTGGATGATACTTGAAATAGTAATTCCAGCCATGAAACTCTTTCTCGCCGTGGCACCATTTAGCACTCTTGGATTGACAACAGACCTGGACCCGAAACATAGACACGACAACTTTGACCAGGACCTTCCGATAATCCCTGGTCGGCCAAGGAGATTCGAATCCCACAAAAGCGACTTTGGTGCGTATAACTAAATCGTGACACGACCCCTTGTCTCATTACTGACTCTGACTAGGTTTTCAATTACCTCTGGACCATGGAGTTCTTTGTTTCTTTTCTTTTCTTTTTTTTTTCTTGCTTTGCTCATTTCATTGTTTGATGACGAGTAGTAGATACTAACTCTTGGTTTACAGTGTTTTTATATCATACAACCACACACAATGTCTCCAAGGACCACCAGCGACTCTGACCGAGTCTCCATCTCACAATCCATGCATACCTCCATGGTTTCAGGAATCTCAAATATGGCCTCAAGATCAATCCAGGATGATGAAATGTCGAGCCATGACAACTCCTCGTTGTGCTCAAGTATCCGTACAGCCCATGGAAATCCACAGGACATGAAAGACTGGACAATGAACCACCAAGAATCCCTTGACCAGGCTATCTCAAAACAAGACTCATCCGAGGTGCACATGCTTTCTTTCTCGCTGTCTCAGCAGCTCATGACCCCCACGGTCGGACCAAATGATGTTATGTACCCAGGCATGGACTTCCCAGCAGTCCCTGACATGAATGACCATGAAATGTCCCGGGATCTTTATAACTCTTTTCTGGATTTCTCTTCTGTTGAAAATGATGTCTGTGTCGGAAATGGCACGCCAGATGATGCTCTTTCCATCGGACACAGCTCTCACAGTACCGAGGACGGTCACTATATCACAGGCCCAGAGTCATGGACTCCAATGATGCATGATGCCCATTACCCAGGAACCACCATGGAACAATTCTCGTCCGGTCTTTTCCAGACCGCCCCGGTCTCTCCACCACTGACCGACGCTAGCAATGATATGTCTGTTACTTCTTCTTGCTCACACGCGGGATACACTTCATTCATGGCCCCTGATGATGCACTCCTCGGAGACTTTACCACATCACCCATCGGAACGACCCACGGACTTAACCCAACGGAGCCTTTGTTCCCCAGCTCTTCTCTTAACGACAGGGACCTCAACAGGTAAGTTCCAGATAAACGGATAGGGTAGAAGACAAACCATTGGATCAGAAACCTAACCACTATACCGTAGGACTATCAGACCTTCAAAGCCATCCCGCCGTTCAGCATTGTCAGCTGTTTCTCAGCACCAAGGGAAGACTGATCCCGATTTCTTCCCCACCCTGCCAGTGAGAGAGCCAACCCGCCAGAGATCCAAGGAAGGTGTCGAAGCTCGCAACCCGCGAGAGCACCAGTATTATTCCATGTCCACCCACAGCGATGGAAAATATTACTGCCCATTTGCCACTGGAGAGAAGCCCTGCAACCACCCACCCACCACGCAAAAATGCGCTTACCAGCAAGTCCTCCCGTGATAAAAATCTTTGGTGTAATCCGAACCCAGCTAACCGATATCAACTAACAGCAAGTACCTGGATTCCCATCTGAAGCCTTACCGCTGCAAGGTCCCCGCTTGCATTGATGCCCAGCTCCGCTTCTCTTCTAACGCCTGTCTGTTCCGCCACGAGCGTGAAGCCCACGGATTGCATGGCCATGGAGATAACCCCCACCTCTGCCTGTGGGAGGGCTGCGAACGCGCCGTTCCAGGAAATGGATTCCCAAGGAGATGGAACCTTTACGACCACATGCGTCGTGTGCACGACTATGCTACCTCCGAGCGCCACAGCTCGCCTGAGACCTCGCCCGGCGCTGGTCAGATCAAGAAGAAGGAGCCGGCTAGCCGCAAGAGAAGAGTCACCGGTGCCACCCCGGCTCCTACCATGAAGCGCACCCGCTCCGTCCACTCCCAGGCTAGCTCCACCAAGGCCACCCAGGCTTCCGCCAGCCTTGGACAGCGCCTCCAGAATGCCGAGCAGAACTTCTTCAAGTGCCGCTCGCGTCTGCTGGAGGAGCTGGGTAACATCTCCCCTCGGGATACTACCATGCACGACAAGGTCAACGCCAGTTTCCAGGAGCTGTTCACCCTGGGTTTGAACTACCGCCAGATTGAAGCCAGCCAGGCTGTTTCCCACATGCCCAACGGATTGCCTTGAAGGGTTAAGAAGCTGTAGACCTCCTTCCTGGAGGAGAACAGCGGTTTTCTTTGAAACGACAGGAACAAACTTCACCGGAGGACTTTTTTCTTGATTTCCTTTTTACTCCACGGCTAGACCGTGCTGCTTGCTGGCCAGGCACTTTCGATACATGGAGGAACCCAGTGCGATCGCTCGCGAGTACACAAGTGGACTTCGGCCAAAGGATTGTCTCAATCTGATCCCCTCATCAGACAGATACAACCCCATTCCAAAATGGATACGGCCAGGAACTGGATAGGAAACAGCGTGGTACCCCACCCCACGTTTGAGAGCTTGATGATCCGCACCCCCCGGTCGCAAGCTACTCACCACATGGGGATCTGGATTCAGTACCAAGGGCTTTTGAGCTTCTTGGGCTGCACTCCAGGTCCATGGATAAAACCATCCCAATGACACAAAAGACCCGAAACTTATGCGGAGGAAAACAGCAAAGCGGGATACGGTGTCTCAAAAAGGGGAAGAAGAATGACAGTAAAGAGAGATATAGCGATGTATTATCCAACAATTGGTTGGATTTTTGATTTTTGATCTTGATAGATAGTGGTTGCGTTCTTATATTTTTGATTCAAATGACGTTTTTACATCGCAATCCATCCTTAAAACATGTAGATCTGTAGATCTGAAGCATATGCAAGTCATAACCTCGTTATCTCATAACTACCAACTGACTTTTTCTAATGAAAAAGACATCTAATCTATTTGATCCTACTTGAATACAAAGTATCTACTCTTCAGCATTCTCCGCAACCACACCCGAGAACTCAGCATTAAGAAACCGCACAAACGCAGCCGCAATCTGATCAACCGATAGCGCACCGCCCCCAGAACCATGACCCCGACCAACATACGATCTGTTCAAGCTAATCCACTGCCTACGCAGCCTCTGCAGCCGTGGCAAAGCCAAAATCCCACCAGCAGCGGCGAGTTCATCCGTCGTTCCAGACATGGCGACGTGGGACGGAACAAGGATGGGAATATTTGTCTCGGGAACCTCAATGGCGATTGCATCTTTGCGGCTGCTCTGCGCAAGCGCTACTTCCGCGGACGGGTAAGTCTGTGTGAAATTGCGGATTGCAGAGACAACCCCCGACGTCCGCTTTTCCATTGCGTACATTGCGTTGGAGTCTGTTGCTGCTGCTTGCACGGTGGCTTGGTGAGGGATGATTCGGGCGCGCGTTGAGAGCCCACCACGGCCGCCACCTCGAGTGCCAGTTGCTGTGCTGGCGACGTCTGAGATGGTAGTGGATTTGAGGGCGTCCATTAGGCTTGGGAGGGCTGTTTCCGTGGGAGCTTCGGTTGATGGGAGGACTACGCCTGTCAAAGCCTCGAATATGTCTGCTACCGGGGGTTCTGCGTCAGCCCAGGGAACTGTGAACAGAGGCTTATCCCAGCGACTGTGCGTGCTGGGTTCCTCGTAGCGGAAGATGAGGTTGTTGAGCAGTTCAGATGGATAGGCCTCCTCGGTGTCCTCGGTAGACTCTGCGGAGTCGGGTGCGGGGATATCTTGGGTTTCGGAGGTCTGCGCATCAGATATCTTTGGGTCTGCCTCCTTTCTGGCGTCTCGACGCAGTCGGGCGTCGTTGTTGGCGATGCACTGGTCGACGGGTGTGCCGACGTGAACCTATAGCAGAGTTGTCAGCCATTGAGTGTCGCAATTCATTGTATATGTTCCGATCTCATACCACACAGCATGTCGTTTGCGCAGCTTTCGCCTCACACCACAGCTGATATCTCCATCCTTTGATATAGTTCATTCCGTCCAGGATGACAATGCTGTCCCGCTTGAGCACACGCTTGGTTCTGGCGTATGCGACGCCGCGCGCCTCCTTCTCGGTGCGGGCATGGTCGTAGACAATCCGGGGATGGGACGAATCGTGTGAAGTGACAACATGGACCTTGTATCGAGACTTCAAGGAGACCTGCGCGCCTGCTTCGGCTGCTGCGAATACTTCATCTTGGTGTTTCTCAAACAGAGATGCGAGTTGGTTGGCGCGGTGGGTAAGACCGGAGCACGGGTATCCTGTTAAAACGACGAGCTAGATATGTATCTGTTAGATTGGATTGTAGTATGTAAATGGGTTCTCAACATACCGGCATCGTTGGTTGTCGCGGTGTTTGTTCACGCGGACTTTTTTTTTCCTATGCGGGGTGTGGCATGTGACCCGCATCTATATCCACGAACCACCTATACGCTCTGTCATGGAATTGTGGATTGATATTCTTAATTGATATTATTGTTGTATTCTATACTATTTAATAATGCGGATATAGGATTAAAGAAAAACAAAAAACAAAAAAAAGAGGTAGAATGCTGTTGTAATGAAATGGAGGCCTGGAGTATGAGGCAGAGATATTCAGTTCAGGTGTCTCGTACAGAGATGGTGTATGTATTTCTATTTTTCTAGAATAGATCTCGATCTCAGTGTATATAGATTCTATCGAACTTTTGTCATGTAGTCATGTCATCGTTCCAAGTAGGCCGGGGGTATCAAATCAACGGCTCAAACAGTTTTGGATGAATCCTCCAATTGATCCTGCGCCCATCGGATCTCATATCCGAATACGGTTCTTCGGAGCCTTTCATCCTGTAAAGAGTCAGCACTATGGCCATAATCCAGAGAACTCTCAAAATGTAGACTTACACCAGGGTCTTTCTCAAACAGCACAGCATCCACTACCTTCTCAAAGATCTTGGTAACAGTAAACCCGCTCGCCTCAGCCAACGGGAAGAATTGCTCGGTCTTGGGCAACAGCCAGGGTTGGTAGGGGGTGAAAATAACCAGAGCAACAGACTTCGGGTCCTTCTTCATGGTCTGCTGCATGGTCTTGATCAGATTCGGGTGCTCACGGTGGCTGTATACCACATCCGCCATGATCAAGACGTCAAACAAGGATGGAGAGCCATCGGCAGCAGGAGGCAGATATGCCCGCAGCGGGGTCACATCACTGCCCCATTTGTAGCCATCGACGTGAAGGCGGGGCTTTCCGTCTTCCCGCGCGGGGATAGCATCAGCTGCCAGCTCTGCATTGTACTTCATGTTTTCAACAAGATCTGGATCCGGATAGTCGGTCAATACCACAGTCCGGGCACCCTGAATGGCGCTCACAATGCTGGGAACGCCTGCTGCGGCACCAATCTCGAGGACATCCTTGTTTCGGATGAGATCTTCGGTGTGCTCCTCAATGTAATGAGAGCTGGTTCGGCCAGCGTTCCATAGCAGATTTCCCTGTCAAGGTCTGTAAGTAGGCACCTCGGCTAGTCATATCAATTGATATCATACATAGAGGGGGTGGCTGCCCACAAGACGGACGCGCACTTTCTGTCCCGAGAGCATGGAGTGCTCGGCAAATGTTGGGGGCGCATCTTCGGGGTAGTACCCTTCCGGGTCCTGGAATAGATTCCCCGAATCAAAATCGTCAGCCATGGTAGTATATATGACTTCAATGCTTTGGAGGGGAAAAAATTATATCGGTTATCAATTCCTTATCGGAGTACCAGTTGATGCCTCAGGCATAAAATCATAAAAGTGAATGCAGGTGTGGGCTAACAGCGGGTCTCTCGGCTTCCCGAGGTCGGTATTAGACAATCAGACGATGTCATTTCCAAGGTTAGATTGGCTGGTCATCACTCTACACATGGAGAAAGTTGTAATTATCGTGATTATTGACTGTTCCATTACATAGCTAAATGTAACATCAAGATCACGTGCATAGTACTACCACGTGATTGGATACAGATACATCGTGTATGTAAAATCGTGCGGAGAAAAGCGTGGAGATACCGTCCCAATACCGTCCCAATACCTTGCAAATACCCGACCAAACCCCCCTCCGGACAAATCTCGGGAGGGAAAAACGTTCAAATGCCATATGCACCCCTGAGAGATCATATGTAAATCTCTGACTTTCAAGCTTTAGACTATCTTTCTCTTTTCGTCGCTTCTCTTTCTGCGATTTGGTTGTTAGTCCAGCGTCTGCCTAGTGGAAGTTACCCCCGCCGGCTAAATTCGTCTTAGCCTTGTGCAATTTGCATCGTCGAACGGCTTCGATTTCCTTGCCACTCTGCTTTCTTTTCCACTCTTGATCTCCCATCGCATCTTTGTCCATAGCAGCAACATCTCTCCCCCGTTCTACCCATCTACATAAGTCCACACCCACGGCGACCTATTCTTTTTGCATTTTGAAGATCGGACTGCTACAGTCACGTCATGGACTCGACCCTGCGGACAGCCTACAACCCTCAAGCACCTCTCGTCCAACCCACCTCCTTCCATCCCTCTTCCTCGACCCTCAATACTTCAACCGGTCAGTCCAATATGGCAGCCGAGGCTCAAAATACCCTAGAAATCGCATCAAATGCGACCAGGCAGGTGTTCTCCTCACCCTCGCTACAATCTGCCTGTTCCCCGCAGAACTCCGCCCCTCCCATGCAACCCTTGTCACAGGCATTTGGCAACACCTCCAACCCGAGCACCCTTCCCATCGCACCCGCAGCCAATGCCCATGCATCGTTACCTACAAATGCAGCCCCCGCTCCGGCGCCCACGTCCGATGCTTATCCCCACCAGATAAATGGTCTTGGGGGTCCAACTGCCACGGCGCCCTTTCTACAGGATTTCAACCTCGTCGCTGAAGCAGCCAAGCGTGCTCAAATGGGTATCGTCATGCGTGATCTCGAGAGTGTGACTCTTTGATTTGAGGTTTGCCGCTAGATAGGGCAGGACCTAGATCGGGCGGAGATGCCGTGTCGGTTGCACGTGCGTCTCCGAGGTGCATGGACTGGCTCCATCTTCTAGATACATTGGGGTTGGGATTACTACGGCGTATTATACGTGGGCTTTGGATTTTGGATTTCCTTCTTTTTTTTGGATTCTGCAGACGCACCTTGCTATCAGAAGGGTTCTGTGTTCGACCTTGCATTCCCTTATTCGGATGCTTTGTCAGTTGATTCTGGTGTTTTCAGACGGTGTTTCCCTGGTGCTTAAATTTTCCTTATGGCTTATAGCCCCTATACCATCTACTCACGAGACATGCAATATCATCCATTAGAAAAAAAAAATTTGTGCAATGATACCAAGGATTAGGAGTTAGAGGCGTAGTATTCCGAATTATCACACTTCACCTAGACATACAGAGGCTCTGTGTACAAAGAAGTGACTTGTATTCTATACCTCTTTCAGGTCGACTTAGTCTGCATATATGTCCTTTTCCGGGGTTTATATTTCTCCATTTAAGGAAAATGTTTAAAGGATGCCTTTATGATGCCTCTACAAAAGATGTGAGAGATGCTAATTGTAGGCGAGTTAACCCAATATTAGTCCTGAAGGTGGATATCCCAATCGATAACAAAGACCCCTTTGAGGGCCTATAAGGTTTATATTTTTTCCTCCATGCTAATCATGAGTCCATAAATGCGAAGGCAATTATAACCGACGAGATGAACCGACGATCTACTCTTTTATTCCAATTAACTCACCCCTCAACCAAGCGGTGACGTAAGGACCTCGGGTATCCTTCCTTGAATCTGAGGAATCTACCTAATCTACTAGATTTGGTATCAGAACTTGGCGATCGGGACCTACTGGATACCATTTTGGGATAATGACGTTACTGCCGTGAAACTTTTTCCCCGCGTTTCCCCCGAGGTCCGTTGCCAAGTTTGGACTAGTACCTACATGACCCGCGCTCACCGCTTGATCTCTAAGGTTTTTCTGCATATCAGGTGACCCGATAGCCTCTGTCGATCCCTCCACTACTCCACACTCATATTTGCGATATACATCTGTCACACTTTTTTTCAACCGAAATATGGATCCATTACCTCTGGACAAAACACCATCACGACAAATCCATACCGAAACCACCGAGATACCTGCCAAAGCTCTTGTTGATGAAAACATTCCTTTTGTGGAGTGGGGATCCCAGGTACAGTACAGATGTGGATACCATTTGGTCCTCAGAGTAAAGAGATGGGATATCCTATTCAGCAATTTAGTGCGGCTCTACTGACTTCTTGATATTAGCTTGTTGAATGGGCAGTGCCCGATGAACTGCTATCACTTTCGTCTCAGAGTCTATCAGCCAGTGGCATTCCTTGTGTCCCGCCATCCACGGGGCTCACTGGGATATATGGACAATGGGAGGGAGCGGGCCTTGTTCATAGTTTAGACCCAGTTCGCTCGGGGCAAATATTTCTCTATCCATTGTCCCTTATAGGCCTGACGCTCCAAGACACTGTCGAAGTCACATCTACTTTTGACCATACACTGAGGATATTGACACCCACACCTCGAATCTACATGTTAACATTAATACGCTATCTTCTCGACCACCCTATTAGTAACAGTAGCAGGTATCATGTGCATAATGATTTAGTGGGTTTTATATCCTTTTACATTTTGCACGATACACCCCTGAATACCAAGGATGGCAAATTAGAAGATGACGAAAGTGAAGAAGAGTTCCAGAAGAGGGTAGAAGAAGCAGTTCATGATATCAAAACCTGGGACTGGGACTCAACGGAAGAAAGATTCTTGGTCATTGCTGAACGTGTCATCCGCGACTGTCGGACTATTTCAGAGCTATCTAGTTGCAGGCAAGCGCAAAATCCTGCGCGTCCATCGTCACCTCGAGCAAAAAGTGAACAATAACATGGAGCTCATAGAACTTTCGAAAACATGGCAGCAACTCCTCCTTTGGCTTTTCTGGGTAGGCTGTAAAATCAATACGAAGATTGTTCTTAGCAAGCCAGTGCAAAATAGCCCTCATGTCCTCAAAATCACCACGAGCTTTTCTAATACTTTGCGGACGGGTAGATTCAGCAACAGAATACCACCTCTTGATCTTTGTAAGGATGAGAACGGATGGGTGTACAATCGGGACTGTAGTCGGATGGTCAGAGAAGGTTCAAAGTCTACACAGTATAAAGTGTAGGCGAAGGGATACTAACTTGTGGTATTGGTATCGCCATCGTAGCCTAGTAGGTTTCTGGTAGAAGCATAGTGCAGGGGAACCGAATTCGCGTTAGGTAGTTTCGTCTGTCGAGCTTTGCCGCCTCGAAGAATCTCAACTTTGACCACATCGTCGCCGTGCATGAAGACCAGGTTATTGGCACGAGTCAGTTGGAATCTAGAGACCCGAAGCAGCATCTGTCGGACGTTTGCCGGGTCTTGGTCAGCGATGAGATCAACATCCTAGTTCAAGTTTGCTTGAGTAATTGCGTCAAGGGAGTTATGCCTGTCGAAATAGTAGAAACCGTGGAATGGACCGAAGTAGAAAAGTAGACATAAGTACTTTCAAATAAATCAAAGTGCTATATCAAAGGTTATACATAGAAAAGTGCTTTTGTTACCGCCTTCGTGTGCACCTAAAAAGAGCATCCAAAAGAGCATCCAAAAAACATCACAAGGCCGCATAAGCGGCCGACTATTCTTGTTATCATCATTTCAAAAATTACCAAAATTATGTTATATCTCTAAATAAGTAACTAATATAAATCCCTTAAACCCCTCAAAGAGGCTATAAAGAAAGGATATTATAGACTAACTTTGTTGAGATATAAAGCTGTAATCTATCGCATCTACTATGTGTGGCGACTTGCTTGTGAAAGACGTTATATAGTGGAGGGTTTTTGTTTTATTTAATACTGGGGGCATAGAATCCGAGGTATGCAAGCAAGTAACTTTAGCTATTACAGTAATTACCAAGATCTATGCGCTATGAATCTTTCTGAAAAGGACAATAATAAAGCAAATCCTGGTAAAAGAATCCACACTAGATACGGTGCTCGGACTAATTACTCCTTGACTTGATCCTAGTCTACTCCTGCAAGATCCCTATATCCCTATGCTAGGACCACCATAGTTATAGTACTTCGGAATTAAATCCATTCCCTTTTTTAAGCGATCTTAAATGAAAATGCACGGCCATTCCAAACACGGCAGCCAACTTTACCCGATCATTCTTCCCACCTTGGCATCTTTTTGGTCACGGGTACATACTTGCAAGTTCGAGGCATTTACGTCTGTTTCATATATCTCGGTCGCGTTTAGAATACGTAATCTCGGACGTTTTCAGCCTTTATTTTTAGGCATTGGTTAACGGGCTGCCGTTAGCCGGCAATTGCTTAGCTTAGAGTAAAATGCTTGCATGGTGGCGCAATTAGCGTATTTAGTAGACTCGAAATGTACAGTCTCTTCAAGGGGTTCTGTATATGATATATTATTCTGATATGTCAAGGGGAGAAACGAAGCCTAATATTTCAAATAAAATCCAGAATTTCCCAAAAGAAGATTCTTAATCCCAAACACCGAGCTATGCGCAAGTCAAGCAGAAGTAGAAACGAAAATCTCAAAACATGAACTAGCGATTAAGAAAACGAAAATAATCGCTGTCCATCTCAAAAATCGATGGATATAGCAAGCGCAGAAAAAAAAAAGCGCAAAATGCAAAAATGCCAAAAAAATGATTATACCGGAACACCCCTTGCGCATGTATGTACGAATAGCCGTGTATTGCACGATTTGAGCACCGCTCCCATACTCATAGATGAAGGTCGATGCTTTTCCTTCTTTTTTTCTTTGACGATCTTATGATATTTCCGGCCATTAAATGAATGAAGCTTGGCTCCTGTTTCCGTATTGAGTTGATGAACCGATCAGATTCGGCGAAGATATGCTAGCCGCCCCGGAGGTAGTAGGTTTGCCTCGCGAAGAGAAAACCGATAACCGACGGGAGATTCTTTGGCTCATTCTCCGTGTTGGGGAAGACCAATTATCGAAGGAGATGATGGACATCGGCCGCGATCGCGGGGGTCCGTGGGATGTCATCGGAGCCTCTGGGCGAGACGGGGGAACAGTGAAGTTGGGCCCGTCATAGATCATGGTTGAGCGACGCCTGAGCTTGTCGGTGGTTTGGCGAGCGTCCATTGAGATGTCTTCTCGGATATCGCCTAGGACGTGCGAGACTCGACGGAGGAGTTTGGGAGGTTTGCCGTAGATGGAGGGTTCTCGCTGCTCTAGGCCGTAGACTTCGAGAGGGGTTGAATCGGTTTCCTGATCCATGGGGGAGGAGTAAAACCGAGGGTACTTGACAGCCATCGGGGCTCGGCGGGTGTTTAGTGAAAGTGTGGATGTGGGGGGGATGTTGGTATGGAGAAGGATGAGACCCGGATGAGACGCTGGAGGAATAGGAACTGTTTGTTGCAGATGAAATCAACATGGCTTCCAAAAGCTGTGATCTTTGAGAAATGAGAAAGGGAAAAAGAGAAGAGAAGGGAGAAGGAAAAAAAAAAGGCCAAAAAAGGGTATTCTGATGGAATTCCGAAAAAGACCAAAAGTGGATCAGAGACATCAACATTTTAGTCCTGTAACACTTAGATGACTAGTAATTTTGCTTTTTTGTTTTGTCTTTTTAAATTACTAGTACTATATATTATCATAAGTCTTTCTACTAAATAGATCTTAGCAATTCGAGCCTTTGACTGTTACTATTTACAGTATGATCTGCTGTATAAACAGTAACAGAAGGCTGTCCATGTGGGAGGACCGTGGGGTGATCCGATGTCTCAAAAGATCTTACACGTTGTCCTCGATCCAATGACGCGGCAGAACAAAGCCACGATCGTTTACATACCCGTGGGACGTAATGCTACACGGGTAGTATGGTACATTCTTGACGGTAGAAGCATTCCAAGGTTCCTATCCCCCACGTCTCCCTCGTACGCAACAAAGACGACAAATAGCCCCGTGTTGCGACATTTACTCCGTACCAAAGGGGCAAAGACACCCCATCCACGGTTCCCTCCGGGAACTGTGGATTATTGATTGCTGATTGGTCCGATTTCCGCTCAGGGGGGATGGCGCCATGGGTCTATACTTTTTTATAGAAACTTTGGAACCAAATGAAACAGAGACATTGAAGACATCAGAGAGATATCAGAGACATTTACTATTAAAACACAAGGTAAAAGTATATTCGAAAGAATATTAATGATATAGTCATTGATATCTTTTCTCTCTACAACATAGGGGAGAAAGCCACTTTCCTATTGAGTTTTGCCGAGAGATCCACCTGGAGCACAGGAGAGAACCATAGCCACAAACGAGCCCACAAGTTCGGAGCTTGGGAGATGCCGCATCGTATTCCAAACTATTATTGAACTATATTATACCCCGTACATGTTCATTTATTTTCCATGGTATTATGTTGTAACAAGTAGTACATATTAGCCATATTATTTACTCCAAACAATACTACACAATATTGTAACCTACATATGTACGGGCGCTTCCCCGCACCGGTAACTCGGGAGCCGGGAGTCGGAAAGTCATCTCAGCTAATTCATTTGCTACATTTCGATCGTGCCTATCATAAGTGCCCAGAGGCTGAAAAAACTCTCCGATTACATCACAAAGCGGAGGTTGGTGTCTATCTCGAGTCAGCTGGCTGGTGTCACACTAAAAAAATAAAAAAATAAAAAAATAAAGAAAAACAAAAACAGAAAAACTCACCAAGGGGATGGCTGCAGCTCAGTTGCGGCTTCTGCGAGTATTTGCCCTCAAGCTCATTTCGAATTGTGTTCAACAGCTGCAGGTAACTTTGCTGTGGCCACTGTTGCAATGATTTAATAAACGCCCAACTCAATGCACCACGCGCCTGTCCGTCCTGGAATGTATCCGCCCTGTTTCCGGGGTTAGCTTGATTTTCTTATTTATTGGCCTTTAACTTTTCAAGCTAACGCCACTTACGAGGTCTGTGTGTCCTTGGACCCTGAAAACATCACAACGTCAGCCGGAGAGGTTTTGGTCATGATGGTGCGCTCACGGGCCGATTCGCCGTTGACTGCCTTTTTGAAGAACCCGATGGCCGTTGAAGCGACACTGGAGAAATCGCCCTGTCCATACGACGTGAATGCACTGAACAAGTCTTGAGCTGCCTCCTTGGCCAGGTTGGGCTCCTTCAGAACACCTTGCGTCGAGTAGACGTATGGCAGATCCAATGCAGTGCCCGAGTGACACGAATCGAAGATCGCCGTCAATCGCACTCCCGGTCGCAGTGGACGCACCATGATGGCATGCATATCATCGTCGACAATGTGACCTGCGGCACGGTAGTCCAGTGGGTAGATGACATCGTCGAATCCATCGTCCTCGTCTCCATCCAGATCGGGAGTACGACCTCCGTGGCCAGAGAAGTGGATGAACAAGGCATCGTTAGGTTGGGCATCCTTGACGAGCCAGTGCATGGCACGTAGAATGTTGGCCTTGGTGGGAAGGCTCATCGGGTTCCGTTGGTCGTCGGTGAGGATGACCATGTCCTCTCGCTTGTACCCGAATCTCTGGGTCAGGAAGTTGGACATGTTAGTGACATCGTTGATACAGCCTTTCAGTGCATTGGGCTGTCCTGCATAGTTGATTCCGATCAACAAAGCCCTGCGGCGACCGGTACAGGCCGAGTACTGGAACCTGTAGTTTGAGGGAGCACCTCCACCGAATTGTTGAAAATTCTGGGGTGGGGTTGGGGGCAGATTCGGAGAATTTGCACGAGGAAGCCCTGTTCGATGGTTAGTGCCGCTGCGAAAGTTTCCTTGGCATATTGAACAAGTTTACCATTTTGAGGGGCACTCAGACTATGCTGGTGGGAGGGAGGACGAGGGGATGGAGTGTGGCCGTATGGCGGGGTAGGAGAGTGAGGATATTGGGGATGCTGAGGATAAGGTGATGGTGGGTAGGGGGAATGGTTAGGACCTGGATAAGATGATTGGGGTTGATGATAACCGTAGGGCTGAGGAGGATAGGGCTGAGGCGGGGGGTTGCCATTGGGGAGGTTGTTGATATCCTCCCCATGGGGGTGGCCCCTGTCCTGGAGGGGGACCTGGAGGTGGATAATACATCTTTTCACAGATTTTATAAATCTCTCTACGATGGAAAGGGAGAAAAGAAGGTGAAGTTGAAGTTGAACAGTTTAAAAGTAATTCGGCTGACTGGGGTGGGTCACGCAAATTAGGACCTTTACGCTTTCCCTTTGAGACAAGAGTGCCCGGGCAATTTTTCTATATGTATAAAGTGTACACTTCTCAAGATTGGGGGATATTGGGGGATCCACCATTAGGGCTGCAGGTAAATCACTTTAATTCAGGTTTTTCCCATTGAATAACTCCAATAGTCGTACTCCATCGGGTATCCATGGATAT